TATATATATATTTATATTTATATATGTATGTTTATATATATATATATATATATATAATGATCAATTATTGTTATTATCATTATAAATTCTCTGTTCTAGTTAAAACATGACCGATAATCAGTACGCTCCTCTAACAGCGAACATAGTGCGGACATTGACAGACAAACTTTATGAGAAGCGAAAAGCGGCAGCGCTTGATATAGAGAAGTAAGTTTCTTGCTTGAATCATTGGTAGAATATCCCTTTCCACTTTCATTTTGGTGAAGTGCTACACACTATCTAATTCTTCAATAGTAAAGCATCAGGAAAATGCAGCACGAAATATCATTCGATTTAATCTATTTTGGATTACAAGAGTAAGCTATTCAGTTGTCTAGATTAGTTCGAGATCTACATGCCACCAATCAACTAACCCAGCTCGACAAACTGCTCGCTGTTCTTCGAGAGCTCGCAATGGCTAGTAATGGACATACTCGAAAAGGCGGTTTGATAGGATTGGCTGCAGCTGCTATCGCTCTAGGGAAGGTATGTACCTTTAGATTTGCAGTTTTGACAACGATTACGATTCATATCTGCAGAATGCTCCGCCTTACACTGTACATTTGATAGAGCCTGTGCTTTCATGTTTCAACGATCCAGATCTACGTGTACGATATTACGCGTGCGAGGTTAGCCGTTGCGATAGATTTATGTATTTCGATGCTAATGGCTAATATCAAATACGCACTCTTATCAAGCAGTTTGTGATTCAGCAACTTTTGAAGAGCAAATGTTTGTTAACATTTGATGAGAGCTGTGCGCTTATGAATTCTATGTTTACGTGATGCTAATTAGATATTGTTTTAGTCTCTGTACAACATCGTCAAGATCTGCAAAGTCGCTGTGTTAAGCCATTTTGACCAACTCTTTGACGTTTTGTGGAAGGTATCTCTTATTCGGTTCTTGTCTTGATATAATAAGGACATACCCTGTATAACCCGGTGTGAGGCGATCATATAAAGGTTGCGCGGGACAAAACGATTATTACATAAGGTCGCCATTGAAATGATAAAAATTATATTTCTTATGAAGTGTGTATATAATCGGTAGGCCAACAACGGAGTAGTGCAGCCCTGAAATAATTTGGATTCATCTAGGGATGTTATTGAACGTTTTTTTTTGTCGAAGAAAAACGCTTTAAAGGTTCTTT